TGAAACCCCTGGAAAAATGAATGGGTTTGGGATAGAAGGATTATAGGATCAACTTTAGGAAAGAAAGGGATTAATAAAGTAGTAATGTAATCTTCCAGGTAGAAGGAGAACTGAGTGAGGAGTCCAAACTAACACTGTTTACTTTTCTTGATAGCAACAGAGATTTGCTAGATCTTGAAATAATCACTTATCTTATCACAGTTTCCTAATCTACAAAACAGAGATGACCTGTCTCCTAGGCATAGAATATAAAAGGGACAGCAAGCATTTCAAAGAGAGAGATTCGATTTTTTATTAAATGTCTTATATCCTTGGAAATATATGCTTTATTAATACTAGCTACTGGAAAGGTGCATTGCATACATTTTCTCATTTGGTCCTCACAACAACTCTACTGGATAGGTGTTGTTTTATCCCCACTTTACAGATGTAGAAACTGAGGCCAGAGATGTTGACTTTCCCAGTGTTAACAAGCCAGGAAGGCACAGAGCTAGGATTCAAACTCACATCACTCAGCTCTATACAGATTCCCCATGCATGACTCATGTGCTACAAAACTCAGTTCCTCTGCTATGGCAGACTTCACTACTTGATTATAGCACTGGCTTTGGAATCTCTCTTGGTGGGTGCTACAAATGATAAAATCATTTTGCCCTTCTAAAGCTTAGATTCTGTAACAGTAGTTCTGATGGCCTCAACCTCAGTGATTCTGATTCTACATATCTAGGGTTGGACCTCAAATCTTTATTTTTAAGGACTTCCCAGATGATTCTGATGAAATCCAGGTTTTGTAACCACTGTTTTATGTAGCTATGTTCAATGATCCCAGGCCCTTTATGTTTGCCTATTCGTTTGCTCTGTGGGTTTCTTGTTAGAAATAGAGGAAAGACCTAACGAAATAGCCATAGGAGGGAAAGGCAACTATTGGTAATATTTATGGGATGTCTACTGTATGAAAGACAGGTATACTACCTTCTTTTATTTTTGTGAACCACTAAAAAGCTGGAAGGAAGAGCTAGTCATATTCTTCTGTACCAAACACCTAATGAATTTTAGAGATATGTGAGTGGCCTCCCTTGAATGTAACTGTCATGAGCTTCAAAGGGAAGAAAGACCTCTTAACTATGCTCTGAGAAGCCCCAGCTTGGAAGAGTATTGAATACAAACTAGAGTAAGTGAAAATCTTACAATTGATGATCCATTATTAATCTCATTCCTTTTATTCATAACAAATTGACTAACAGCCCTCCTCCCCACCCCCTAAAATTACTACATCATGTGGTAGATTACAAACCCGATGAGAAGAGGCAGCAATACTCCATTAATATTTATAAATGTCGCAATGCTCATATTTCCCATCTATCTGGAAAATCAGCTGAAGTAATTAAGGCATATGGGGAATTATAAAGATGAAAAATATCAGGAAAACAGTACACATGGAAGTTATCAACACTATTTTACTTCTGCTGTTACATCTTAATGACTTAATTTTCCATGGATGGCATTTTTAAAATGTAAATTTCTCAGTTAAAACGAAACAAAATTTCATTACTATCCAAGCAACACAGATATTTTTCAAATGGCAAACTTACATCTTTGGTATCTCCACAAGGTATCGAAAGTGTTTACTTCCAATGATTTTCACTACTATCTCGGGCATTGCATCTGATCCGTGGGGAGTCTTACAAACTGAAGACATGATTCTTCACAAAACCCCTTCAAATCCTTGGGGATGGAAAACAAATAGATCATTCCTCTTGGTTACCACTAGGCAACAGCACCATCCACACCAATAACAACAACTGTACCAGGAACAAGAACTTGACAGAAAGGAGCTCACGTAACACTTTCGATAAAGGCATGCGAAAGATACTCATGTTTACTATTATCATTCTTGTTTTACAGTTGAGAGAACAGGCAAAATGCAGTCAGGTAACTTACTCCATGTCACATAGCCAGTAATTAGCAGGATTGGGAACTACACCTAAGATGTCTGCAAAGTTGAAGTACAGAAACATTAGGTGATCCTACCTTCCTGTACTACAAGACATCAGACAGGATACTTGTGAGATCAGAAACGAAACCAGGACTTTAGCGAACAATCTCTAGTCAGCTCTGATCCTCAGTTTCCCCATTTATGAAATCAGGATAATTCCAGTCTGCTCTCAGGGATTAAGGGTGAATCCAGTGAGACCA